CCAAAATCCGATCTCCCGCCAAATTCCAGGCAAAATCGGCGGAATTCCCCCCCCAAATCAGCGGATTTCCCGCCAAAACTGTCGGAATTCCCGGCAAAATTGGCGGAATTCCCGGCAAAATTGGCGGAATTCCCGGCAAAATCGGCGGAATTCCCGCAAAAATCAAAATTCCCGCCAAAACCGGCCAAATTCCCGGCAAAATCGGCGGAATTCCCGGCAAAATCCGATTTCCCGCCAAAACCGGCGGAATTCCCGGCAAAATCCGATTTCCCACCAAAACCGGCGGAATTCCCGGCAAAATCCGATTTCCCGCCAAAAAACCGGCAGATTTCCCGCCAAAATCGGCGCAATTCCCGGCAAAATCCGATTTCCCGCCAAATTCCAGGCAAAATTGGCGGAATTCCCCCCCAAATCGGCGGATTTCCCGCCAAAATCGTCAGGATTCCCGCCAAATCGGCTGAATTCCCGCCAAAATTGTCGCAATTCCCGCCGAAATCGGCGGATTTCCCGGCAAAATCAAAATTCCCGCCAAAAATGTGCGAATTTCCCGCCAAATTCCCGCCAAAGTCTGCTGAATTCCCGCCAAAATCGGGATTCCTGCTGAAATTGCTGGATTTCCCGCCAAAAGCGGCGATTTTCCCGCCAAAATCGGATTTCCCGCCAAAACCGGTGGAATTCCCGCCAAAATCGGATTTCCCGCCAAAACCGGTGGAATTCCCGCCAAAATCGGATTTCCCGCCAAAATCGGCTCCTCCCGGCCAGCAGGGGGCGCTGTGGGGGGGGGGTTGGGATGGGGGAGGGGAGGGGGCGGGGTCGTCCCAGTCCATCCCGGTATAAACCAGTATAAACCCGTTTGTCCCAGGATAAACCAGTGAGCCGTCCCAAGCCCTAAACCAGTTCAGACCAGTATAAACCAGTATAGACCAGTATAGACCAGTATGAACCAGTCTGAACCAGTATAACCTAGTCAAACCAGTCCAAACCAGTACAAACCAGTTCAAACCACTTCAAACTAGTATAACCCAGTCTAACCAGTCTAAACCAGTCTAAACCAGTATAAACCAGTATAACCCAGTATAAACCAGTATAACCCAGTATAAACCAGTATAACCCAGTCCAAACCAGTCCAAACCAGTTTAAACCAGTCTAACCAGTCCAAACCAGTCCAAACCAGCCCAACCCAGTCCAACCCAGTATAACCCAGTCCAACCCAGTCCAAACCACTCTAAACCAGTATAAACAGTAAAACCCAGTATAAACCAGTCTAAACCAGTCCAAACCAGTCCAAACCACTTCAGACCAGTCTAAACCAGTTTAAACCAGTCCAAACCAGTATAAACCTGTAAAACCCAGTATAAACCAGTCTAAACCAGTATAAACCAGTAAAACCCAGTATAAACCAGTCTAAATCAGTATAACCCAGTCCAAACTGGTCTAAAGCAGTATAACCCAGTATATCACAGTATAACCAAGTATAAACCAGTATAAACCAGTCCAAACCAGTCCAAACCAGTCCAAACCAGTTCAGACCAGTCTAAACCAGTATAACCCAGCCAAACCAGTATAACCCAGTCCAACCCAGTCCAAACCAGTGTAAACCAGTATAAACCAGTAAAACCCAGTATAAACCAGTCTAAACCAGTCCAAACCAGTCCAAACCAGTCCAAACCAGTCAAAACCAGTATATCCCAGTATAACCCAGTATAACCCAGTATATCCCAGTCTAACCCGTCTCCCCTCCCCCAGCCTACACCTATTTTTACCGCTCCCACCTCTACTGGAAATTCGACAACTCCGCCCTTCGGCCCCTCCCCGGATACCCCAAATCCGCGCTCCGCGATTGGCTGGGCTGCCCCGGCCCGGCCCCGCCCACCGCCCCGCCCCAGGGCGGCGACGGCGACGTCATCGTCATCGCGGTGGGGGCGGGGCCGGGGGCGGTGGCGGCGCCGCTGGCGCTGCTGGGCGTGGCCGGGGCGGCGCTGGGCGTGGCGGCGGCGCTGTGCCGCCGAGGGGGCGGGGCCAACGCGCACCTGCGCAGGTGCCAGCGCTCGCTGCTGCCCCGGGTGTAGGGGAGGAGCCTCACTGGCGTGGCCACGCCCGCTCTGACGCGATTGGACACGCCCGCTCTGACCTGCCTGGGCGCCTCATTTGCATGGACACGCCCCCTGGCTCCATTGGACACGCCCACTTTGCTTGGACACGCCTAATTTGCATGGACACGCCCACTCTGACGCGATTGGACACGCCCGCTTTGACCTGCCTGGACACGCCCCTGACTCCATTGGACACGCCCACTTTGACCTGCCTGGGCGCCTCATTTGCATGGACACGCCCCCTGACTCCATTGGACACGCCCACTTTGCTTGGACACGCCTAATTTGCATGGACACGCCCACTCTGACGCGATTGGACACGCCCGCTTTGACCTGCCTGGACACGCCCCCTTGACTCCATTGGAAACGCCCACTTTGCTTGGACACGCCCCCCAAATCGATTGGACGTGCAGAATTTGCATGGACACGCCCCCTGACTACATTGGACACACCCACTTTGCTTGGACATGCCTAATTTGCATGGACACGCCCACTCTGACGCGATTGGACACGCCCGCTTTGACCTGCCTGGACACGCCCCCGACTCCATTGGACACGCCCACTTTGACCTGCCTGGGCGCCTCATTTGCATGGGCACGCCCCCTGACTCCATTGGACACGCCCACTTTGCTTGGACACGCCTAATTTGCATGGACACGCCCACTCTGACGCGATTGGACGTGGCCACAGGACTTGGACACGCCCCTTGACTCCATTGGAAACGCCCACTTTGCTTGGACACGCCCCCCAAATCGATTGGACATGCTGAATTTGCATGGACACGCCCCCGGCTCCATTGGACACGCCCACTTTTACCTGTATGGACGCCTAATTTGCATGGACACGCCCCCTCACTCCATTAGACACACCCACTTTGACCTGTGTGGACGCCTAATTTGCATGGACACGCCCCCTGACTCCATTGGACACGCCCACTTTGACCTGCCTAGGTGCCTCATTTGCATGGACACGCCCCCTGACTCATTGGACACGCCCACTTTGACCTGCCTGGGCGCCTCATTTGCATGGACACGCCCCCTGACTCCATTGGACACGCCCACTTTGCTTGGACACGCCCCCCAAATCGATTGGACGTGCCAAATTTGCATGGACACGCCCCCTGACTACATTGGACACACCCACTTTGCTTGGACACGCCTAATTTGCATGGACACGCCCACTCTGACGCGATTGGACACGCCCACTTTGACCTGCCTGGACACGCCCCCTTGACTCCATTGGAAACGCCCGCTTTGCTTGGACACGCCCCCCAAATCGATTGGACGTGCCGAATTTGCATGGACACGCCCCCTCACTCCATTAGACACGCCCACTTTGACCTGTATGGACACCTAATTTGCATGGACACGCCCCCTGACTACATTGGACACACCCACTTTGCTTGGACACGCCTCATTTGCATGGACACGCCCACTCTGACGCGATCGGACACACCCACTTTGCCTGGACACGCCTAATTTGCATGGACACGCCCACTCTGACGCAATTGGACACGCCCACTTTAACTACTCTGGATGCCTCATTTGCATGGGCACGCCCACTCTGACCTGTCCGGACATCTAATTTGCATGGACACGCCCCCTCTGACGCGATTGGCCACGCCCACTTTGACCTGTCCAGACGCCTAATTTGCATAGACACGCCCACTCTGACACGATTGGACACGGCCACTGGACATGAACACGCCCCCCTGACTCCATTGGACAAGCCCACTTTGACCTGTCCAGACGCCTAATTTGCATAGACACGCCCCCTGGCTCGATTGGACACGCCCACTTTGACATGTCCGAACTCCTAATTTGCATAGACACGCCCCCTGGCTCCATTGGACACGCCCACTTTGCGTGGACACACCCACTTTGACCTCCCTGGACGCCTCATTTGCATGGGCACACCCCTGAGTCGATTGGACACACCTCATTTGCATAGCCACGCCCCTCAGACCCAATTGGACACTCCTAATTTGCATGGACACGCCCACTGAGGCACACGGACACACCCACTGGACATGGACACGCCCCTTTCACCTTCCTGGCCACGCCTAATTTGCGTGGCCACGCCCCCAAACGCAACTGGACGCCCCTAATTTGCATAGCCACACCCCTCAGACGCGACTGGACAAGCCCCCTCTGCATGGCCACGCCCCCCTCGCCTTTAACCCCGCCCCCTCCCCCACCAGCCGAGCCAGTCTCGCCTGGCCCCGCCCCCTCCCCGCCTGACCACGCCCACTCCAGGCCACGCCCCCTCCTCCCCCATTGATGGTGCTGCGGGCCGGGCCCCGCCCCCAATCGGGTTATGCAAATGAGGGGGGCGTGGCCGGGAATTTTTTTTTTATTATTTTTTTCCGGGATTTTTTTTTCTTTTTTTTTTTTTCTTTTTTATATTTTTTTCCCGATTTTTGGGTTTTTTTGGGAATTCCGGGGGGGCGGTCCCGGGGGTGGGGGAGGGGCGGGATCCCCTCCCCCTTTTCCCAAAAAACAAAAAAAATTCCCAAAATTTTTTTTTTCCCTTTTTTTTTCTTTTTTTTTTTCCCGCGGGACGGGGGAGGGGCAAAGGGGGGGGAGGGGCCGGGCTTGGCCCCGCCCCCTCGGTCGGGGAATAGGGGGGAGGGGGCGGGGCTTAATAATTAATTAATTGTGATTAATAAAGGAGAAGAAACGGATCGGGCTGGGCTCGTTTGCATATCGCTGCGGTCACGCCCCCCTCATTAGCATATTGAAACAGAGGGCTTTAATTAGGGCAAGCCATCGGCCACGCCCCTCATTAGCATAATGAGACCATCATCATGGCCACTCAGATCTCATTAGCGTAATTACTACTGTGGCCACGCCCCCTCATTTGCATAGTGGCAGCCTCATCACGGCCGCGCTCATTAGCATAACGCCACCCGGTTTCTATAGCCACGCCCCTCATTAGCATAATTAGATCGGCATCATTGTGGCCACACCCCCTCATTAGCGTAACACGGAGTCGGTGTCATAACCACACCCCTTCATTAGCATAATGGGAAGGCATTCCTGTGGCCACGCCCCTCATTAGCATAGCACCAGTTTTGGCGCCGTAGCCACGCCCCTCATTAGCATAACACCACTCATGGAAGCCCGGCCGCTGATTTGCATAACGTTTCCCATAAAGCCACACCCCCTCATTAGCATAGCACCACCCACTGCCATGGCCACACCCCCTCATTTGCATTGCAGGGACCCCTCACCATGGCCACGCCCCTAATTAGCATAACAAACCCTTATGGAAATGAGTACAAACCCTCATTAGCATAACCCCGCCCCTCATTACCGTAACCCACCCCGCCATAGCCACGGTCCTCATTAGCATAACCCCGCCCCCCGAGCGGAGCCCCGCCCACTTTTGCCGCCATCTTGGGGGCGGGGCTTGTGGCTCCCCAAATGCCCCTCCCAGTTCAAACCAGTTTAAACCAGTATAAACCAGTTCAAACCAGTCCAAACCAGTTCAAACCAGCCCAAACCAGTCCAAACCAGTCCAAACCAGTCCAAACCAGTTCAAACCAGTCCAAACCAGTCCAAACCAGTATAAACCAGTATAAACCAGTCCAAACCAGTTCAAACCAGTCCAAACCAGTATAAACCAGTATAAACCACCCCAAGCTTTATTGACATTTCCTTATAAGGGAAAAGGGGCGGGGCGAGCACTGGGCGGAGTCTCCGGAGGGGGCGGGGCCGGATCACCTGCGGGGAAAAACCAGTATAAACCAGTACAAACCAGTTTAAACCAGTAAAAACCAGTATAAACCAGTATAAACCAGTCCAAACCAGTTCAAACCAGTCCAAACCAGTATAAACCAGTACAAACCAGTATAAACCAGTAACCCCCGTTTTTCCCCCGTTTTTAACCCTTTTTTCGCCGTTTTTTCCCCGTTTTTTCACCCCAGACCCCCTCCCAGTATAAACCAGTAACTCCCAGTCCCCTCCCAGTACAAACCAGTATAAACCAGTAACCCCCGTTTCCCGCTGTTTTTAACCCTTTTTTCGCCGTTTTTTCGCCGTTTTTTCACCGATTTTCCCCGTTTTTTAACCCCCCAGTCCCTCCCAGTATAAACCAGTATAAACCAGTACAAACCAGTAACCCCAAACCCCCATTTCCCCCATTTTTAACCCTTTCTTCCCCATTTTTAACCCTTTTTTCGCCGTTTTTTCGCCGATTTTCCCCGTTTTTTTTCCTCCCAGTACAAACCAGTACAAACCAGTGACCCCCCCCCGGCCCCTCCCAGTTCGCTCACCTCTCCTTACTGGTTTGTACTGGGAGCCTTCGGGGGGTCCTTGGCGGCCTCCAGGGAGCGGCTGAGAGCCAGGGCCCGGCACTGGTGTGAACTGGGAGTTACTGGTTTATACTGGGAGGGACTGGGAGGGGATTTTTTATTTTTTTTTTGAATTTTGGGGGATTTTTTTTGGAATTTTTTGGGGATTTTTGGGAACTTTTTTAGGGATTTTTTTTGGGGGATTTTTTTTGGGGAAATTTTTGGGGCATTTTTGGGAAATTTTGGGGGATTTTTCTGGAGAATTTTTGGTGAATTTTCGGGGAATTATTTTTGGGAAGGATTTTGGAATTTCCAGGGAATTTTGGGGATTTTTTTAGGAAATTTTTGGGGGATTTTTTTTGGAATTTATTGGGGATTTTTGGGGATTTTTTTGGGAAATTTTGGGGATTTTTTGGGAAATCTTTTAGGAATTTATTGGGGATTTTTGGGGATTTTTTTGGGAAATTTTGGGGATTTTTTTGGGATTTTTTTGGAAATTTTGGGGATTTTTTGGGAAATTTCTTGGGAATTTATTGGGGATTTTTGGGGATTTTTTTGGGAAATTTTGGGGATTTTTTGGGAAATCTTTTAGGAATTTATTGGGGATTTTTGGGGATTTTTTTGGGAAATTTTGGGGATTTTTTGGGAAATCTTTTAGGAATTTATTGGGGATTTTTGGGGA